AAATGAATGATTTCAAAGTATGTTAAATAAGATAAGACTTATATAGAGGCGATTTAAGATCCTACGATTTTGAACGCCACGGGTAACTTTTGTTTCTTGAATGTACATCCTTTAGATTTGAATCGATGATTAGTTTGTTTACGGAAAATACGAAGAAGACGACAAGAATGACACAGCACCTTTTTTATATTATTTCTGCGATTGTTTAAAAACACGTTTATATAAACTGTGCCCTCTTGATATCGTCTCCACATATATCGAATTTATCTAATCAACCAAACAAATTATCGAACTTGTCGATTAAATGTGTTTTAATAAACTCGAAATCAAGGACTATACACCAATTTCTATCTTTACTTGCAAAGAGAGGAATGTTTTAGTTTAACGTGACCATAACTCCTGATTGGGTGTTATTTTGAACTTTGAAACATTTGAAATACTGAAAAAAACTGATACTTGAATCTGATTAATCTGTTTAAAATATGTAAATCTTGCGAAATTAGGTCTGTACTCCGAAACGGGCATTTCTTTTTCCTGTGAAAGAGTTTGGGAATACTGCAAAAGCGATATTTTCGAGTTTTCTAATATTCACTGTTTCAGAGGATGGCACGAAAAGAAAGAAAGTATTGTGAAGAAAAAAATGCATGACTTTTGTGAAGATAGCATCCTTTTTTTCCCCAACCTTTTGCTAAGACCGCGAAAATTTGAACCATAGGAAATAATTCCCTTTTCAGTATTTCAATGATGATATCCAATCATTAAATGATACAAATGCTACAACAGAAATGTACCAAAGGCTGTATCGGGATTATTCCGAGCAAATTAAGATATCACACTTTTTTTTTTTTTTTTTTTTGTTGCTTGTCCAACCTCACGTGCATACTTCCTCCTTTATCATACGTGCATCCTCCGACTGTAGTTTTAGAGCCAAAAACAAATTATGCGTACTTTTATCCGAAAGCAAATCCACGTTTTTGACTCCCATAACCTCAACAGGAATGTTTCAAAAAAGTTTTCAAAACAGGTTTTTATTTTAACTTTAATGTCGATCTGAATTGCCTTGAGAAGGAAGATCAGTCTTGTTTAAAGTGTTGAGATAAGGGGATCTAGTTCTTGTTTGTATTGCTAAAAATACACGATTATAGAACTTATTCAACCATAACGGAAGTAGATCTCTTTATAAAATGTGTCCTGAAACATGGGTTAGGCTTTTACATCATATGATGGAATTCAAGATAAAATGATTTGAGTTAAATCCTTTATTACAGATACAGAGAGAACTGTGAAGTCAAAAAGCATTTTTTTTCTCAAATGATTACATAAACCCGTAAAGTGGTTTTCTTAATGCCTGTGTATCTATCTTTATTGACATTTATAAGCCATATATGAGATCCTTTCATATTCCAAAAGGATTCGGTGATACAATTTTCATAGATAACAATTGTTTACACGAAGAATATAGCCTAGATATAATCTGTGAAAAAAAAGAGTTCGACATATTTTGTCTTACATCGTTATCGTGAATGATAGATCGACGTGGCTGGATTTAGAAATCGGATTTATGACGAAGTTCAAACAATATAACTAACACACCGTCCACTTTGTCGATGTAAAGAAAATCCAATAATTATGTTCTTTTGCGTACATGTATTGTGTATGGTTATTTGTTAATATACCGTAATATAGCCTTTAACAATCACACATTATAATAAAGTTTCTCTTAAACAACCATTATGGTCTAATGCTGTAGCTCTACCTCTGTGAGAGACCACTCCCATTAAGCAATTTCTCTCTTGGGCGACCAATGCTTTATATCAAAGTGTATATATTATGTAACTCTGCTTATTTATGAAAGACGACTGCCAGCAGTCCACATTTGACCTATATCTAAGGGTCTAGAATGATATAAATTTTATCTAATCACGTGATAATCGTTTTCTTCAGAGAATATTCCCGTGTATGTTTTCTTTGTATCGTTTTATGTCATATAACCAACTATGACATCATAATTAGAAAATGACGTCATATACTCGCAGATTGCATTGTGACGTTACAATGGATACCATTGTCATAAGTCGTAATGACATGACTCATCACAGAAGAAAGTGTCTTTTTTTCTAAATATTTGATAAAAAAAATCATTAATCATTGATAAATCATGTGATGAGTGGGATATTAAATTCGTTTCAATTTTCTACGTGACCTTTCCAATACGTCACAATTTTTTTTTTAATTTTGAAGTAAGGTTTGCCAAAGTGAAAAGTTCCCTAAACTCGTTGCATGCAAGATACTAAATGTTTAACATGGTATTTGAGAGATGGTGTATCGTTTTTTATTTACCATGTATCAATCATCTGGTTTAGCAAGTTGTAATAATTATGAAATTTATATAGAAAAATTAACTGGCCTGATATTACTATTTGTTTACACATTTTAGACTTTTTCAGTACAGAATAACTTTCGTCCTTAAACAAACTGAAAATTACTACGTAAAGTGATATAAATTCTGTTTATTATTTCAAAACAAAAGTACACCAACAATAAACAAATATCAACATTCAGGAATCAAATTTAGCAACCGGAAATGGAAACAATGTCATTCACAACATGAAGTAGCCGGTACAGTTTGTTCTTGATTGGAAAATGAATTGCGATGAACATATCGAAATTTGAAATCTCCATCCAGTATGACACGTGACGCATTTTTCACTTCAGCACAAAAATAATCAATATTTTCATAATGGATCGTATTTTGCATCTCCATTACAAAATACTTTCCAGCTATGAATATATATATAATATAGCCCCTGTACTATAATGCACACTGCATGTGTCCCCGGGAACTATACAAAAGTTAAAGGGCAAAAATCACGATACTCTCATCATGCTGGCTGTTTTCCAAATATGGCATGACTGTTTCCACTATGCAGCCTTATTTATTTGTGAATAACATCGCCCAGTTTTACGACTTCGTAACTGTGACGTACCACGTGGTCATTCTAGAAAGAAGTGTCTTTGTTGTTCATTATCATCCACACGGGGTATTTATATTTATTAAATATTAATCAAAAATTTTAATTTATCAGTTTAAACGTTTAAATCATATTAGTCGGTGTCCATGGCTACGATGGAGGTCAACATATGGATAAGAAATCGCTTTTGCTTAAATGACAATAAAACAAGCATATACTGTTTGTGAAGATGTTTGAAATAAGGTCAGAAATGACATGGTTTGTCATTATACCTAATAAGTCAAGCTGTTTAACTTCAATTCTTGTGGGAGCTTCTAGCGGGACAGTATCTTTCATTATCCCACTGAAAAATGCTCAAGAAGACTTCAATCTTCCTTAATCTGATTTGAATTGAAATGATCGAGAACTGGATATTATCTTGAAGTCATGAAGACAGTTGTTGATATTCTCAAAGCTACCTTTGAGGTTTTGATGTATTGTTAAATGTAGATTTTTATTTTAGTATTTCTGTAATGAAAGTGACCTAAGCTTGTTCAAGGTCGAGTTTCGATGTAATCTTACCGGTGGAGGGTAGGTTAGGATGGGGCGATCAACTCTCACCGGTGGAGGGTGGGTTAGGATGGGGCGATCAACTCTCACCGGTGGAGGGTAGGTTAGGATGGGACGATCTACTCTCACCGGTGGAGGGTGGGTTAGGATGGGGCGATCAACTCTCACCGGTGGAGGGTAGGTTAGGATGGGACGATCTACTCTCACCGGTGGAGGGTAGGTTAGGATGGGACGATCTACTCTCACCGGTAGAGGGTGGGTTAGATTGGAACGATCTACTCTCACCGGTGGAGGGTAGGTTAGGATGGGACGATCACTCTCACCGGTGGAGTGTGGGTTATGATGGGACGATCTACTCTTACCGGTAGAGGGTGGGTTAGGATGGGACGATCTACTCTTATCGGTGGAGGGTGGGTTAGATTGGGACGATCTACTCTTATTGGTGGAGGGTGGGTTAGATTGGGACGATCTACTCTTATCGGTGGAGGGTGGGTTAGATTGGGACGATCTACTCTCACCGGTGGAGGGTGGGTTAGGATGGGACGATCTACTCTCACCGGTGGAGGCTTGGTTAGGATGGGACGATCTACTCTCGCCATGGAGGGTGGGTTAGGATGTTACGATCTATTCTCACCGGTGGAGGGTGAGTTAGGATGGGACGATCTACTCTTATCGGTGGAGGGTGGGTTAGGATGGGACGATCTACTCTCACCGGTGGAGGGTGGGTTAGGATGGGACGATCTACTCTCACCGGTAGAGGGTGGGTTAGGATGGGACGATCTACTCTTATCGGTGGAGGGTGGGTTAGATTGGGACGATCTACTCTTACCGGTGGAGGGTGGGTTAGAATGGGACGATCTACTCTCACCGGTAGAGGATCTACTCTTACCGGTGGAGGGTGGGTTAGATTGGGACGATCTACTCTTATCGGTGGAGGGTGGGTTAGGATGGGACGATCTACTCTCACCGGTAGAGGGTGGGTTAGATTGGGACGATCTACTCTTATCGGTGGAGGATGATTTAGGATGGGACGATCTACTCTTATCGGTGGAGGGTGGGTTAGGATGGGACGATCTACTCTCACCGGTAGAGGGTGGGTTAGATTGGGACGATCTACTCTTGTCGGTGGAGGGTGGGTTAGGATGGGACGATCTACTCTCACCGGTAGAGGGTGGGTTAGATTGGGACGATCTACTCTTACCGGTGGAGGATGATTTAGGATGGGACGATCTACTCTTATCGGTGGAGGGTGGGTTAGGATGGGACGATCTACTCTCACCGGTAGAGGGTGGATCTACTCTCACCGGTGGAGGGTGGGTTAGGATGGGACGATCTACTCTCACCGGTAGAGGGTGGGTTAGATTGGGACGATCTACTCTTATCGGTGGAGGGTGGGTTAGGATGGGACGATCTACTCTCACCGGTAGAGGGTGGGTTAGATTGGGACGATCTACTCTTACCGGTGGAGGGTAGGTTAGGATGGGACGATCTACTCTCACCGGTGGAGTGTGTATGGGACGATCTACTCTCACCATGGAGGGTTGGTTAGGATGGGACGATCTACTCTCACCGGTAGAGGGTGGGTTAGATTGGGACGATCTACTCTTATCGGTGGAGGGTGGGTTAGGATGGGACGATCTACTCTCACCGGTAGAGGGTGGGTTAGATTGGGACGATCTACTCTTATCGGTGGAGGGTGGGTTAGGATGGGACGATCTACTCCCACCGGTGGAGGGTGGGTTAGATTGGAACGATCTACTCTTACCGGTGGAGGGTAGGTTAGGATGGGACGATCTACTCTCACCGGTAGAGGGTGGGTTAGTTTGGGACGATCTACTCTTACCGGTGGAGGGTGGGTTAGATTGGGACGATCTACTCTTACCGGTGGAGGGTAGGTTAGGATGGGACGATCACTCTCACCGGTGGAGTGTGTATGGGACGATCTACTCTCACCATGGAGGGTGGGTTAGGATGGGACGATCTACTCTCACCGGTAGAGGGTGGGTTAGATTGGGACGATCTACTCTTACCGGTGGAGGGTGGGTTAGCATGGGACGATCTACTCTCACCGGTAGAGGGTGGGTTAGATTGGGACGATCTACTCTTACCGGTGGAGGGTGGGTTAGATTGGGACGATCTACTCTTATCGGTGGAGGGTGGGTTAGGATGGGACGATCTACTCTCACCGGGACGATCTACTCTTACCGGTGGAGGATGATTTAGGATGGGACGATCTACTCTTATCGGTGGAGGGTGGGTTAGGATGGGACGATCTACTCTCACCGGTAGAGGGTGGGTTAGATTGGGACGATCTACTCTTATCGGTGGAGGGTGGGTTAGGATGGGACGATCTACTCTCACCGGTAGAGGGTGGGTTAGATTGGGACGATCTACTCTTACCGGTGGAGGGTGAGTTAGGATGGGACGATCTACTCTTATCGGTGGAGGGTGGGTTAGGATGGGACGATCTACTCTTATCGGTGGAGGGTGGGTTAGGATGGGACGATCTACTCTCACCGGTAGAGGGTGGGTTAGATTGGGACGATCTACTCTTACCGGTGGAGGGTGAGTTAGGATGGGACGATCTACTCTCACCGGTGGAGGGTGGGTTGAGGTTTGGCGATCTTTTCTCTCTGGTGTAGGGTGGAAGATGGATTCTCTCCGAACTCTGTCTTATGTATTTCCTTTCTCTAGTTATTTGGGACATTGGTACACCTTGGAAAGTCGTTGTCCCATTTATCAAATGTAGGTCACTCTCACCTCTGTTTAGACCTTTGACCTAAATAAAAGAAATTACATATGACGTTTGGGCTTAATCACCTACGCTAGTTGTCACTGGAACTTCTTACTTGATGAAGAGTATTGTCTTGGTAAGGCGTTGTGTAGTCGGGAACTGTAACCAAATTTTCTGTTTCCTACCCTCTCAATGTATTGGAATGTTGTTTCTGCAGTCCACACAAGGAGATGTACCCTATTCAAGCCTAGGAAGTGGGGTAACAAGGTGAAACATTATCATATAAAGGTATAAGTCGTAAATAATTTAAAAAAATGGGAGAGCACCTTATTATTTGTAGTGTCGTGTCAGTTGGTGCTATCATTGTACATGTATGAGATAGTGGTATGTATTAAATCGATCAACTCCTTCTGAAGAACTTTCTGATAGTATGTAGTCAAGTTAGATTTAAAACTTTATTAGTCGAGGTATGGTATCATCGACGTCTTTAACAAAATGGAAAGAAAAGTCAAACGTTGACTTAATTTCGTTTTCAATTTCTATTCGTTAACTTTCGTTTTCGCAGCAGCATACCAATCAGTTTCACTCAAGAAGTTATCACTTCAAGTTACCATATAGGTAGCTGGAATATCTTTGACGAATGGATTGCTTATAAGTAATGTTTCTGGACCCTTTCAATCTTTGATAAGTTTATCATTTCAACTTGTTTTCTTTGTCTGTTTCCATCATTTTTTTTCTTTTCCCTTATCATTTTATTTCGTTCTTAATCTCCGTTTGGAATACAATGTTATATATTTCATCACCATAGAAAGCTGACCAGCTCATTATGGTATATAAATAATTTACATGAAAGATATTTAGGCGAAAAATAGGTGTACAAGAAAAACAAATTAACATTATGTTTTAGTGAAAATCATTTTCTTCTTGGAAGTAAATATCGATACAAAAAGTATGTCAAGAGGTTCATCAAATGTTTATTACGATATGTGAAACTTTAATTGTAATCGTTAATTTCTTTTGTTTGTTTCACCGTGAAATGTTGTTTACAATCATGCTAATCTCTTATATCTATAAACAACACAAACCAATTTGTTGAAAAAGCACTCTTCGAAAATTAAAGTCTGTTAGATCCGGAGATATCTGCATTTTCCATAATCATAAACATTGCGAAGATAGCGACACCTACCGGAAGAATTGTGATGTAAGGGGATGTTACTAATTGCCTTAGGCATTATTTAAACAATAAGTACTACAAACTTGCCAGGCAGGAAGAATTGATGGGATTGATGTGGCACGAAGTTTGTGTTGACAAGGCCAAGTAATTTATGTTTTTGTCGCCTATTATGAGTCCATACTGGATAATTGCTCTCGTTTTTGATGTCGGTTGGTAGCAGACGACAACTCAGGTACTTGTACAGTGAATGTTTGTGCATAAATCTGTCAAAGCTAGGGATTTAGTGTGTTAAAATCTCTGGTAATGACTAAGATAATCACCAAGGAGCATTATGATTAGTGCTAGACAGCTTTACATTGTAATTTATATGCAATCCAGTATCACTCTCTCGCTCGGGCCAAAACTCCCGCCAAATTGATTCGGATTGATTTATTCATAGCTTTGGTGATACGCACAGATGTTTATACGTTGTGGTCTATAGAACACCAACTTCACATGTACAGAAATCAATGTTCAAAGTGGATTATACACTAAGTGTGTAGAAAGTGAATTACCATAACTTTTAATCAAGTTTATAGCACATATCATCAATGGTTTAGAGTGTATGGTTCACTGCAATTCGTTAAGTGCTGAGTATCACTTGGAATATATTTCCTTTAATCGTTATGTAGAAACACACAAATTAAAGGTTCCCTGAAGGTTAGTTTTTCTACAAGTTATAAATGACTTCATTTGACAATTGAATTTACAATCATAATAAATGTTTAGGTTACCACTTTCCCTAAAATGGCCTCTTTTACCAATACACCACATTGAGTATCATGCTTGACTTCCGGCGGAAGTGAACGTTCCTATGCTGGAAAACGATCGAAGCAAAAGGATATATTTAAAAGCTTGTAAAAGGTTGGAGTGTTGTATTGATTGAAATTATGTATGTCTATATACAATGTTACTCGACTTAGCACCTGTCGAAAGGTCCATCAACGCAAATAACGAATTCTCATTCAGCACGAGACTTCGTAGAAAATTAAACCTCACTCATCCTATGAAACACGATAGAAAACAGGGAAAACAACCACAGCGGGGAAAAAGCTTTTAAAAGGATTTCAGAGAAAAATGCTTTGGATCATGTTGGTCCCATGTATAGTTATATTGGTTTGAAATAGTGTCATACAATGGAATTTATTGACAGTTTTTTTTCAAATTTAAAATGTTATCGAAAGGATCATTCAAGACAGAAAGTGATAACTTTGTTATAAATTTGAAAGCATTTAAAAAAAAATCTTGTGTTTACATTGATTTAGACAATTCAGGAGCATAATGGTGTTTCACTTTACAAGCTATGTACTTCAGGTTGACGCATAATAAGATAATTTTGACCAACACTTTCAGGCATTAAGCAAAGACAGATGACGTTAATCAGTATCTTTGCATGAGGCTTACAATCAGCTCTTTCAATCAATAATGAACAAACCATATATCCCCGGAACGGTTACATAAAGGAACTTTATGACAGAAAAGTATGTGGACACGTAAACTTTGTTAGTTTGACAGTGATTAAAGACGGAAAATGAAAAAATAGTCATAAACGAATTGAATAGGACTGAACAGATTGTCAGTAGTCACACAAATGTTACATCAAACAAATATATACCAGCACATGAACACAATTATAAACCAAAGTGTCAAATTCAATTCAAATAAGACGAAATGTGAACAAAATAAGCGACTTCTCCTGAAAAGATCAAAGAAAATAAGACCAGGTGTTCGTGAAGAGTAAGCGTCTTCTACCTGATCGACGATACCAATCATGTAAATTTTGATCAATTCAAGTAATTGCTGTTACGTTTTGAAATGATATCCAAGGTATGTAACAACGGATTGAACAGGCAACTTAACGAGCATCAAACATATCAAGCTCATATCGCACAAAGAAGGGAAATATTCATTATCTTGACGACCCTACAACTTCCCAAAAGTTTGATCCTGTGCTGTGTCCCATACATCAATGATACAATTTGTGGAATTCAATTAGAAATTTCGAAACATTATTTCTACACTTATGTTTATTTTTAAGAAATAATTCTGCTTTTTTGAAGGTATAGAAAAATAATTATATTTTTAATTTATACAATTTTATTTAGACAATCGTAACTTATCAATGACATTAATGATTATGATGCATTGTTTTCTTGGTAACAGGAAAAATAACAATGAAAGACAAAACAAAAGACTAATTGCCACTAAGAAATCTTCTGCATTTGATAAAAGCAACATCTCTAAAACAGACGCAACGGAGTAAAAATATGAAGAGATCGGCGATATCGTCTGTCCGGCTTTATGAGACCGTCCGGCTCCTAAAGTGCATTTATTATACGCTATATTGACTAGTTGGTCTCCAGGGATGCAAAGCAATACTGCACAGTACTCAATGATTAGTGTACAGTTTCGAGTAAGTTAGCATTTGTATAGCCCTAAGCTAAGTCACACACTAATGTATGATCCGTCACTACGGGCCGAAAATCCGGGAAATTTGACGACAATTATTTGAATACACAATGATGTAAGATCAGATTACCAATATGCTTTGGTATTTAACTGATCAAACAGTATTTCGTTGAGTGTCGTATTCCATTGAGAATACAAGAGTCACGGTCTCTATTAATGTCCCATCTTGGGTCACATAACACCATGCTAATAGCCAAACACTCGTTAGTTTTATAAAGCAGGGATGCACCTCTCGGCTTGTCGACATGAATATTCTATAAGTTTGAGTAGTGTGATTAGCTGCTGACAATACAACATTTGTATTTGCCTCTGTTTAGAAATCTCGACCACTTTATACTGCGTTATTAGGAGACATCGATTATTTCTGTCAGCGTGATATGAAGTGTTTAT